TTTGTTCGGGATGTTCTTGAAGATGGCGATGTGGAGATTGTGAAAGTTCACACAAAGGATAATCTGGCGGATATGCTCACTAAGGTGGTTCCGAGCAACAAGTTTGATCATTGTCGAAACTTGTTGCACATTCGTGATTGTTGAGGCCGTTGACGGCCATTTGGATGAACTACGGGCGGCTTGATCCCTTGGGAGAGGGGATACGTAGTCAACCACATTGGTGCAGCCGAGTTTAGAGAGGCGACACATTGGTGCTCATGTTGGTGTCGGCTCAGTGTTGGGAACACTTCGCCGAGGTGGAGAATTGTGAAAAACGCGAACGAATTATGAAAAACGTGAAGAATAACCCAAAACAGACTCCACCACACCCTGGTGTGGTGTCTGCCATGGGTGTGGTAGAATCTGTCCTGCACCACATCCTCTGCCACACCCACGGTGCAGGGTGTGGCAGAATCTGTCCTGCACCACACCATCTGCCACACCCATGGTGCAGGGTGTGGCAGACTCGTTTTTAAAATCCTCCTTTGTATGGGAATCCTCCTTTGTTTGGGATTGTGTTTTATTATAAATAGGACCACGTTTTTTAGGGTTTCTTAAGGAGAGAAAAGGAGAGAATTAGCATTGTTTTGAGCACTTTGAGAGGGAGATATTATGAGGGAGTTGAGAGCTTTGGTTAGGATTATATTTGAGTGATTTTGTGAGTTGTAACCCGTTGTATTTCTTCTCCATATAGTGAAATCTCCCCATCCTCTCCCCGTGGACGTAGGCAATTGCCGAACCACGTATATCTCTGTGTTTGGTTTGATTTGTCGTAATTGGCTTGGTTTGTGCAAGTGTTTTGGGTTATTCTTCACGTTTTTCACAATTCGTTCGTGTTTTTCACATATATTGCATAATTTTATTACAATTAAAGATCCACAAGATGACATTTTGAATGAGAATGTTGTAATTGATGAAGAGAATGAGGAGATGACAAATGAAGATGACACAAACATAGTTGATCACACTCAATCTAGGACTGGAAGAAATGAATGGAAGAAGTTTCGAGACCAAATTGCTTGGGCAATGTGGGTTGGTTATTGTGCGAAGTATAAAGGTGGTGATACCATGGAAATTGCCATTTAGTTTTCTTGTTTTCGCATATTTAGTTATGTATTGTACTATTTCATAATTGTGCTTGTATGGACAATGTAAATTTCCATCCCTTACTTGCAACTATGTAATTCTGAATTAACTTTGTAAGCTTGTACTACATATTCATGGTTATTTTTATTATTGCACATTTAAAACATCGATGTAGGAAAGCAAATCTTCCTTATTTACTACATGCACCGCCAAATACAACGAGCGGTATTAATATGAACTTTATGTCATATCCACCTCAATCTTTCATTTCACTACATACAATGCCAAAATCTTTCTCACAATTCCCACCCTTTGAAGGCAACTATAGTGGAATGAGCCAGCAACATGTATCATACACTAATATGTTAAACAGTCCCCAATGCTTGTATATTCCATCTTATAGTTCTTAAAGCAGTGGTCCACAACAAATGTCACCAACCACTGGTGAATCTGGTGGACCTCAGAGCCATGCCATTGATGTGATCGGGAGGTATCACCCTCTAAAAACGAAGAAACTAGCTCGCAAGAGAAAAGTGCCTACAACAATGAGAATTACTGACGTGAATTTGAAGGGGGTTTCCAACAAGTGGTGGCTCCCCTAGCATGATGTGGTCTTTATACCGTATCTTACAAAACTTTTGTGAAAGATGGAATGAAGATTGGTTAAAAACTTCAAAGCTAAAGCTTACAAAATGGCAACTACAAAATCAACATGCAACTTAAACCAACTACACCTACACTTATGTGATTAATCATATGAAAACTTAGAGAACCAAATATTTTGATATGAAGGCTTGCACCAACATAAGTGGTACTGCGTGAGATGAGAAAAATTGTATGTTAACCCTGGATGACACTTAAAACATGGGCTCATGTAATATTCCTATCATAACAATAATTACTTTAAGTGGAAGTGAAAATGTTATACTTAATTTCATACATCATATAGTGAAACTACATTTCAATTTGTATATTGCAGGAAAAAAGTAGCTTTAGGTTTGGTATAGAGGATATATAAATAAGCTTCTTTCGTTTTTACAAGAAATTACAGAAGATCATGGGTGATGATCAAGCTAGTGGTGATTTTACTAGGCCACTTTATGAGAAGATTGACACCTAACAACGTCATTCCTCTTGATGATGATGATGGAGACAACCCATTTGCGAGTGAAACTGAGCCTCAATCTAATGCTAACACTTCCACAAACCCCACTTCTAAAAAATCCTAGAGTGAATCTAACCCAAAGCCTTTCTCAAGCAAAAGACTGAGAAAATCCAATGATGTTGAGTTGATACGTAGCTTTATTGAGTCAATATCAGAGTCAATTAGAAATCAATACATAATACATTTGACTGAACAATTAGTTGTAGCTTTGAAAACTCATAGTGACTCATACAGTGATGAATTTTCGACAATGTCTTAGACCATTTGTATGAAAGTGAGCGTGATGTAAGAAGATTTTTTTTATCAAAACTGAGAATGCAGCCTAAATTTATTGTGTAATGTTTAGGTGAGATAATTTTGTGTGGAAAGCAACCTACATTGATATTACAATATTTGGGTGAAACAATCCCTCAAAAGTGCAGCCTATATTGCATAATAAATTTATAGGCGAGACAATCTTTTATGACATATCTATTTACATCCTGAGCTCTAATAATTATACATGAATATAGATGCCCATTAGAGAGCTACGTTTGGTTCTTTTTATGCTCAGCTTGAGCTTTTAGTGCATAATTCTATTATACTAATGTGATTTTGAGCTTGCTTAGCTCTCTACGGTGCTATGTATGGTGTTTTTTTTTGTGCTCAGTTTAAGCTATTGGTGTAGATTTTTGTTATATGTTGCTGATTTTGAGCTTGTTTAGCTCTCTATGGTGCTCGATTTGGTTTTTTTTTTTTGCTCAGTTTGAGCTATTGGTGTAGATTTTTGTTATATGTTGCTGATTTTGAGCTTGTTTAGCTCTCTATGGTGCTCGATTTGGTTTTTTTCCTCAGTTTAAGTTGGTGCAGATTTTATTTGTATGTTGCTGATTTGAGCTTGTTTAGTTCTCTATGGTGCTCGGATTGGTATTTTTTGTGCTCAATTTGAGCTGTTGATGTAGATTTCCTCTATTTATTGTTGATTGCTCTCTATGGTGGTCGATTTGATATTTTTTGTGCTCAGTTTGAGCTATTGGTGCAGATTTCGTTTATACATTGCTGATTTTAAGCTTGTTTAGCTCTCTATGGTGCTTGGTTTGGTGTTTTTTGTGCTCAAATTCAGCTGTTGGTGCAGATTTTTGTTATATGTTGTTGATTTTGAGCTTGTTTAGCTCTCTATAGTGCTCTGTTTGGTGTTTTTGTGCTCAGATTGAGCTGTTGGTGTATATTTCTGTTATATGCTGCTGATTTTGAGATTGTTTAGCTCTCTATGGTGCTTGGTTCAATCCTTATTTGGTGTTTTTTGTGCTCAGTTTAAGCTGTTGGTGCAAATTTCTGTTGTATGTTGCTGATTTTGAGCTTGTTTACCTCTCTATGGTTGCTCGGTTTGGTGTTTTTTGTGCTTAGTTTCAGCTGTTTGTGTAGAGTTTGAAGGATATGTTGGCAATGATGATGGTCTTTTTATAAGATTGCAAACTAGTTTACAATGTTCATAATAAGATAAGATGTTCTTTAATGGGAAGTGCAACCTTCATTGTAAGCACAAGATTAAGGTGAGACAATACATTCTTCGAATGCAATCCACGTTGAACTTGTAAGTTTTAGTTGAGACAATCAATTTTGTCAAAAGATTTATAACTAAGCCAACTTAGTACATGAAAATATCAAAGTAGGACATAAAAATACCAAGGTTGTACGTGATTTTTTTAGATCATTGATTTCAATCTAACCATTGTGAATAAAATTTCTAGTCCACGGTGCTGGCCAATCCCTTCCTTACCCATATTAGGCACAGTCCCATTGTAACCAACATCATGCATGTAAGTTAAGAGATCATTCATGTTCCAGTTTATGTAGCAGATATCGTTGCAGTAGGGACACTTCCACCACCCGTTTCGGTCTCTAACTTTTAAAGCATTGGCTCTTAACATTATTTCTTCAAATTCTATTATATCTCACGTGTCATCTCGCTCTCGTTCTTCATCTGTATATGAAAATAAAGTAGGTTTGTTTCTGCGGTAGTTTCCGAGAACGCTAAGATAAATAAACAAAGTAATTTGACATTGGGAAAGTAGTAGAGTTTTTAATTCTTTTTAACATCATATTTACCTTTAAATTTGGTGCAGCTGAAGATTCACCAATATCTCTAACATTCTTACTCTTATTTTTAACTTGGCAAATTTTTTGTTCATGGCAAGTCGAAGATAAAAGGGTTTTACAACATTTGAGGATGCCAAACTAGCCATTATAAAGTTTCTTGTAAGATTATCAAAACTTTTCTATAAAATTTTCATATGCAACCAAACAAAAGAAAAAGAAAACATGCTAATTTTATAACATAAAGGGCCCATTTTCTTGTTTTGAACAAAACAAAGAAAGTACAAGAAACAAGAAAAGTTGTACATTTTGAGTTCTATAAACTTTTCCTATAATTAAATGCAGATATAAATTAAAATGGTTTATATTGAGAGGTATTTACTGGATAGATAAGGTTTTGGAAATATTCGATATTAACAAAATTCTGTGCGTGTTTTATGTACAGAGGCTGATAGTTTTCAATAACGCTTACCACATTTATGTACTCCATCTCTACCCTTTTGAAACGTAAACTCAATTCACGAGCCTAACTTAAATTATGAATGCCTTTCAAGGCCATCTAAATCAAATTTATTGCAATAGGCTAGCTCTTGCACGCTGAAGGAATCATATACCTGAAGCGAGGATAAGTACGTGATCAGAAGTGTGAGAGATTCTTCTGTTGCTTGTTGATTGGAATAAGATACACAAACACTTCTAGTACTAAATCTTAGAAATTTATAAGAGGTTCTGTACAAATCTTCTCTTCCCTATATAGACGAATATTGATATACAATCTTCAATCTTTTATTTATCTCCAAAACTCAGAAAGTTGACAAACCCTGGTATCCCCAGATATTTCACAAGCTCCTGAAAACCTGTGATACAATAAGAAAAGAAACATCGACCAGCTTGAACAACTAGTGAGAATCAATATCAAGAATTAGCATTTCATAAAGCAAAGCTATATCTCAAAGCAACAAGAAAAAACTCAAATGGATAAAAAACAAGACACAAGTGAGAAAGAACAATTAAACTAAATAAAAAACAAGAGAATGACATCAAGGGATGCTATTCTTGCCAAAGATGAAGAATGCATATAACCAGCTTACTGTGAATAGTAACCCTGAAAATGCGATGAAGATTATGATACCAAGCTATAGTTCCTTCAATTAATATGGGATTCCATTTTCATCTACAACCCAATTGCATGAAATGTCGCTTTGTGCAAACCTGTACTTGCACCTTTCTCATTCATTGATTTTCTTTATTAAAAGAACTTATTATGTTCACATTGTTCACGTTTGAGTTCAAACACTACAAATTTGTATATAACACGGACATAAGGTCTTTCTCTACAATAACACAATATTGAGACAAATAAGAACATGAAAATGGAAGGTATATGGGCCCACTGATTACATGAAGACATGCATATGCTACTCATTCTTTTTCAGAAGTGTGTTACTGTTAGATATTTAGACAATATCATGCCTCAGGATGATGCATTTACCTAATACCTATAGCAATTATTATCATCTCTGTCTAAATATACATATTTGTAATTTCCTAATAGATAATTTTATAAACCTTTTACTCCTCCTGGATTCTTTTTTCTAGCCTAAGAATTTTGAGGATCGCTCCTTAATTGCATAAGCTTTAAACCACATAAACCAATCTTCATTACCTGTCACCTTGTCTTCTATGTTTTATGGGAAATCCCTTTATTGTCCACAGCTTCCTCAGTTTCCTCAATCTTCATTGTCCACAGCTTCCTCAGCAGGGGTGCAGACAGCTCGGATATGATACTTACCATATCCGTATGCATTTACCAATCACGGATACATATACGTATACGAATACAAATATCTCGGTAATAAGCAAAACTCTCTAGATCGAATACAGATATGGATATACTCATATACATGCATATACAAAATGGATATGAGAAAACTAGATCACATTGATATATATATATATATATATATATATATATATATATATATATAGTTCATATGATACCATAGAGTTCATTGTTTGTTATATCTAAAAAACAAAGATTAGATCTCTTGATCATCAACTAACCTCATATCCATTTATCTTAGGATTAAAAGAATTACAAGTGTATGATCGACATACATTGGTATATTTTGGATACGGATCAGGATATTGTACTACATATCGATATCCGTAACCATATCCTATCAGATATATTCGAGGATTTGGACATGTATTTTCACCGCTATTCCTCAGCCATGAACATGGACTAACCACTTCAACAGGTTTGGATCAGGTCATAGTAATAATCTGCCACCATCATGCAGATATTTCTGGTAATGGAATGATTATATGATATAAGAGAAATTACTTTTGGACACAAAACCATGGGCCAACTATCGTACATGTGAGATGTCTACTTTAGTTGCCATTGAGATTGGGAGAGCGCCAAAAGTTAAATGGAGAATGACACATGCATTGCCCTGTCCCATGCTTGGTTCCCCCCATGAATTTTGGGTCCAAAAAGAAGTGTCATGATGAGAGGGGTGGGGAATAAGATCCCATGGTAGTATGCTATTGATCAGATCATTTAATAATGACATCGATTAGGAATTTTTGATATACACCTTGAACTGGGCACGTCTATCTATCTTCTCTTTGAACTCTGTTAGGATCACTCGTCATGTCCATCATCATCTTCTCAGGAGAATCTTCCCAATTACCAAATGTTTTCAGGTCAACCTACAGAAACGCAAACAAGAAAGGGGGGAACATGTAAATATAATATGCTAGTAACATTAGAAGAAAACTCTTATTACTAAACCTTGCGTCGTTGTTCGGTGAAGAGTGTTTCTCTTTTTTTATATGAATCCTGCTGTTGTCTTGCTGCTTTTCCACCAAAACCCCATACCTCAACTTCTAGTACAGATGCTTCAACAGGTAAGAAACCCTGAATTTCAGTAAACAACATGGAGACACTTAGTTGCAACAGACCATGAGTTTATATAAGCATATTGATCATTTTCACTCATTAACTAAAAGTAATTTATTTGTCGAGATATAAAAAGAAAGAAAATAAATCTCATCCCAAAGACTAGAAACTTGCAACGTTCCAAAGATTGATCATTGGATGACTTGGTTCATTAAATTGAATTATGCTCTGATTCCATAATGTGGTTCTCTTTCTATTCAGATTTTATGAGAATGTTCAATCTTTCCCAAATTTGTTTCCAGCAAAGGATTAAAACTCTGGAATGAACGCAAATAAATACAGAGAGATGAGAGCAGCTGAAACTACACATGCAGAATAAGAATACATAAGAATAGGAAATTAAAATCATCAAACTTGTTCACAAAATAAAGATTGAATAGAATCAAGTTTATCAGAAAGAAAGATGAACTGAAACTGCTGAAATTATAGGCAGGACTAGACAGTGATACAGAAAAATGAATGCAATCAAGTTCTCAAAGAGTATTTCAGTTCTCCTGTCCATATAAAAAGTTTTACCTGGTTAGGAATCAGAGAACCATTCTGAAACGTTTTGTCAACTGCATGGTGACGGACTGTAACCTTAGCAAAATCTTCGTCAACAAATATCCTCTCACTCCCTAAAGTTCCTCCAAAGCCCAAACCAATGGGCTTTGGATTTGGTTCATATACTCTCCCAGAAAGATGTAGGTGACTATACATGAAATTCTTCTCCTTTCCTGATTAATGGTATTTTAGATTGTTTAGCTGCAAAGATTATTTTTTAAAAAAAAGGGAAACTAAACTACTTAAAACATACCAGAAGGTGAGATTACACGGAAAACTGGGTTTATAGCATAAAGATGTCCGGAATTTCCATAAAACGTCTCTCTATTTTCAAATCCTTGCCCAGTCAGTACACCAATCACCCATCGTTTTATAATACTGTCACTCTGACTGGTATCTACCGAAGAAGCTGAGACTAGAACTAAAACAGGTCCATGATAACCTTCCACGTTAGACCAGAACCTGTTCAACCCTTTCCCATGAACTGATGACCTACAAATAAACAACTACTAGTGAGAACAATGTGCACTCTCTCAAAATGACAATTCAAGTATAATGAAACAATGCAAGGATAAACCTACAGTCAAGCGTACCAACAGCCAGATGAAGCAGTTTTGTGAAACAAATATCAACTCCAAAAGAGAACAAGAAAAATAAGCAAGTTCACCAACATTTCTTATCAAACTATTAATCTCTATTTCTTATTGTAATAACATCATCCGGCAATACAACATTATTTTCTCCTCCAGAGAGGACGGCACTTGTAAATTCCCGGTGAAGGTACATTATATCTGCTGTCAAATGAAGAAAATAAACAAATTTGAGTTCCTTCTACATTAATGCTGCAAAAGGTAACCAATTTACATGATTTCACTTCAGATTCACTTTGCCAATTCGTTATACTTGACTGCTTTATGACTTGGAGCTTTAACAAATAGATTCAGCACTTCATACAAAGACATGTCTTATTTGTAATTTTAAGTGAAGTATTTGCTGTTTTACGCTCCAAGTTCAATTCTCATCAATAATGCATTGAGAAAAACTCGGTAAATATACACTATAATGACTAAATTATGATATAAAATGTGATCTGTAATTAAAAAAAAAATCCCAAGATCTAAGACTGTATTCTGTAGTGGAATTCTCAGAATTAAAAAAATGCTCAAAGAAAGCAACCAACCTATATAGAATGTTATCGAGTGACTCATTGACCAGTTCAGGAAAGGATACCCCTGACAGCTCTTCGCGTAAGGTATTTCTCAGTGTAAGAGATATCGCCCATGCCTGTCCACATGTGAGGAGGAAAGCATTTTCAACATCACTGGAGTAATTGTCGCCAGCTGATGAAATGGAATCCTGCATATTGTCAACAAGTTAATCCAAGTTGCAAGGACACCAATAGAGACGATAAACTGTAAGCATGTTAAGAATGCTGCAATCCAGCTAAAAACAGGAGCTCCAATGATGTGAGGGCCTACAGGTAAAAAAAAAACTTCCACCCCACAAAACAAATTAAATGTTTGACACGGCCCACATGCATGTATATATGTTTTGAGCACACAAAAACACATGTTCTCCAGCCCTAAGGGTGTGTTTAGCAAAACCCCCTGATTACACTCTGTTACCACTATTCTTTCAGACTTATGCAACAATGTTTATTATTCATTAACTCTTGAGATTATGTGCCCATGCCTCAATCTGATGCAAATTCTCAATAAATTACCATAGGCACATTCCTATTTTAGTGAATAAAAGAGGCTTGATTCTTCATCTGCATCACACAACAAACTGCTCATGAATCAAATGGCATTTTTCATGAATTTGACTTGATTAATAAATTACACAATGCACACGTTGTGGGTATATTCTTGGAAGAGAAAAGATCCTATAGACGACAATGAATGGCTCAATAACCATAATTGGGGATCATGGGAAAATACCCCTTTGAAACAATGCAAACTGTGATTATACTTGAGACAGTAAAGGGCATATCTAAGTCAAAACTTGCATACCTTATATATTTTTTTCTTACTTCGATCAGTGTGGTTGATCATATCTTCTAATTAACAAACACAAACCCAAGACTTCCAAGTTATTTTTCCCCAATCCACCATCAAACACTCCCTGTCCAGTCATGTTCCCACCGTCTCGTGTTCCTTCCGCCAGCACTACTAGTCTTAGTCTATAAAAAAAATGTTTCGCTCACATCGTCGTATAATTGCAATGGCGAGATTCACACACAATTCACTTTTGATTTTTTTTAATGACCTCCGATATTGGTCTCCCCAAAAATTTCCACCATAATGATTTCGAGTCAAGGTTCACATTCAACAGAGCCACACTTAACGATCACTAAAAGCTAATGAAAACGAAACATGCACATAACAAAGAACGAGTCTTTTGGCTTACCCCGGAACTCCCAGCTGCACAAGCCTTGACCTTCTCCCGAACAAACCTCGATAAGCAACCCGTCAGCTCCGGAGCTCTGCTCATCACCCACAGCTGCACCTTCTGAGCGGAAACACTCCGATCCATCCCCAAAACCTCACACCCCCAGATCCTCTCGTCGTCTTCAACCTCTCCACCGTCCACCAACACCGACATCACCAAATGCTTGAAATCGGGAACAGCCCCAGCAGCTTCACTCCTGCTCCCAACCCTCCAATACCTCTCCATCGCCCAGCAAATCTCAAACAGCGCCGTCAGATCCGAGGACCTAAGCTCCCCCCCGGCCTTGTCAGACTCCGAATCGAACTCCAGTTGGCAAGGGATCTGAGCTCGATCGCACAGTTCGTGGTACAGTTTGAAGATTAGGTTGAGGGACGAGGAGGCAGGCATCCGGGAGCAGCACCT